ATATATATATATGAGATATATATATGAGCTATATATATAACTTTATTGGTTCATTTTAGGTATACACTATAATGACATTCATCATTGGGAATTTGTACCTTTACATGGTGTATCTTGGTTTTTATTTTTTTCCCCATTCCCTGCCCTCCCATCCACCTGTCCACCCCTCCACCCCTTGCTATTTACAAAGACTTTGTTTCCATTTTTTCCTTTTCTCTCAGTTATATATTTTTATTTCACAAGAGTTAACATAGGTGACAGTTTCATTTACAATAATACAGGGTTCTTTCTTTTGGCACTAAATAGTTTGATGATAATCAATTGTTTGTAACCACAATTGTAAGGGAGTTTAATGACTTGTAATTTTGAGGAGAGTACCTTCTGTGTTTTTAGTAATAGAGAGTGTAGTGAGGATGGTGAGGGTGACTTTATCACAGGCGAGCCTAACTCATGGGGCTATTGTCACCACAGTGTCTCTAGTGTCAGCCACAATCATGTCCAAGCCCCATTTGTGCCTATGAGGGAATGCCTGCAAACCCCAGAAGTCTGGGAAGCTGAGACGGGAGGATTGCAAATTCAAACCCAGCCTAGGCAACTTGGCAAATTAATGAGATCCTCTCTCAAAATAAGCACAAAATTTTTTTGGTACCAGGGATCAAACTTGGGACCTTGTGCTTAGGAGGCTGGTGGTGGAACCACTGAGGTAAATCCCTGGCAGGAAGAAAAATTTTTAAAGGGCAGGGATATAGTTCAGTATGCAGGTCCTGGGTTTAACCCCCAGTAGTGGAAAAAAAGATATAGTTTTTAAATTGATTAATTAAAACTAGAAAACAGCTCTGCCTTTTGTTGTTTCCTAGTGTACAAGGCTTCACTGTGAAGTGTTGAGACAATGTTATGTCCAGATGTGACCCATGTATGTAGAGGAGAGACCTGCTTACGTGTTATGCAAGGGATGTCTGCAGAACTCTGGATATCTCCATGGGTGTATACTTTCAAGAGGCTCGGTTGTTTGAGGCAGGTTCAAACTTGATGTACCCAAGAGGCGTTTAATGAACTATGAGAATCGGATAAAAGCCAAGTTGGTGGTGCATGACTGTAATCCCAGCACTTGGGATGCTGAGGCAGGAGGATTGCCATGAGTTCAAGGCTGGCCTGGGCTATAGAGTGACACCCTGCCTCCAAAAACAAATGAACAAAAAAGTTGGATAGAAATCCCAAGGTGAGTCTTTGGAGTAAGAGACATTTGTTTTAGAAGGAGGTGGCTAAGTTTTGGGAATCGTGAAAACAAAGATGTTGTATGGGCTCACAAGGACTTTTAAAATTAGACAAGAACTTTTACAAGGATGAGTCTCCTGGGAGCAAACAGTATTGGATGATAGTTTGTCAGAAGAGTGAGAGAGGCCTGTAGCGTGGTTCTGATGGTTTTTGATATTGTGCATAGCTGTGGGCAAAGAGTTTGAGACTTCATCTGTCCCAATAATTGTGCAATGGGTGTCACTGCAGTGAAGAGAGTTCTGATGAGAGGTTTGATGGTAGGAGATTTTTGTGGTAGAATTGGATAGTTTAATTTTCATGGGGGTGACCTCGGGTAGGGTGTTGAGCTCTAATTCACAGGCCCTTGTCACCATAGTCTTAAAGGGGGTGAGGGTTGACCACATGGAGGAATGGAGAAGTGGCCCCAGTGGGACCCAGGCCCATGTGGGGCCTGGTGGCAAATCCAGCCGCTTGTCATTTGTTTGCTTGTCATAACACATGGAGTGAACACCAGGGCTTCGCCCTGCATTGTCCAAAGGCTATAGCAAACATCAGAAACAGTAAAACTATGGTTGACATTTTATGTTTTGCTACTCTACTCTCCATGTGCAATATCAAAAACCATCAGAACCTAGGTATGGGGCCAGGGATTTAGCTCAGTGGCAGTGCACGTGCCTCGCAAGCACAAGGTCCTGAGTTCGATCCCTGGTACCAAACAAACAAAACAAATGAACCTAGGTATGAGGCCAGGAAGGAGAACAGCAAAAAGGAGGCTTTTGAGTGTAAGTGGGAGACTTCTGGGAAAATGGCAGAGTGGTGAACAGCAGAGAAACAGCCTCTCTGAGGTTTGGTGTCTAGATGCTGGAATATAGCAACACGAGGAAGAGAAGGAGGGAGGTGGATCTCTGGGACCCAGCAAGGATCTGAATTGCAGCCCAGAGGGAGAGAAATGAAAGGCCAATGAAGAAGAAGGAGGTGGCAAGCGGTGCTTTCTCCCTGACCCCTGGCTCACTGCGTGGGAAGGGTGTCCAAACCTGGGAATGCACAGTGACTACT